CAAACCCCCCCCCCCCCCCCCCCCTCTCATATCCAAACAACCAATACACTCAGGAAAAAATGTGTTCACCTCTGTCATGTGTTCTGCTAATGAGAGAGAGGAGGGAAGTAGATGGGATAACTTTGACATATCTTCTTTGGGGGTCTTCGATAAAACTTCCACCAAATCCCCTTAGATGCCCTCATGGGTGTCACTCATGACCAATTCTACTGGTAATGGGGCTGTCATGTACAGATCTATGTAAATCTATGCATATATATACAGATCTCTCCACCCTCTCTCTCTCTCTCTCTCTCTCTCTCTCTCTCTCTCTCTATATATATATATATATACAAATAAAGAGATTACACTTTCCTTCACAATGAAAGGAAGCTCCTTCTTCGTTGATATGTGACTGAAAGTCCCTTCTCTTAGGGTAAGCCTTTTTCAATCGATTTGCTGAGAGAACTCGCTGAGACAGAGAAGAAGAGAGGCGCTGAGACAGAGGAGAGAAGAGAGGTGATCCCGAGTCGTTTGTGTTCTGAGGACCAAACAATTAAGACCACATATATATACTCTCTCATATGGAGTGGTATTTTGTAACTAAGAGGAGTCAAAGTTGAGACCTCATTAATACCAATCGCGCGTATTTTGTGTTTCTGGTGTTTCCTAAAACACAAATTTTTTATTCTCATTTTTTTGTCTTTGTCTCTAATACAATTAAAACAAAACAAAATTAAAAAAAGTACCAAAACATATTTTTGCTTTCATTTTTGATAAAAATTGAAAACAAAAACACAAAACACAAGACAAAAACAGTTACCAAACATGTCCTTAATTTTTGATCTCAAAATCTCATAAATTTCTCTCTCTCTCTTCTTTTTTTGCCCTTTTTGCCATGTTGTTTGAATGGCCGCTACTAGGCTATTTATAGCCAAAGTTTTTGGTCAAAGGCACGTGTCAATAATCATCCTGCTTAAATCAACTAGCTTGCATGACATGGATAATTGTCCATATTTCCTTCATACAATTTTTTTTTTTTTTTTTGGAATAGAACACATGTCTATTTTTTCCTTTAACACGCTTGCCACCACTTATATACATAGCCATTTTTTTTTTCTTTCTTCCTTTCTTTGACACCTATATATCAAAATATATATATATATATATATACACACACACTTATATATATTATATATGTAACGGACGTATTACTCATATATTTTATTATTTTAACAATATGATATTTTATTTTAACACGAAATATGATATATATTATAATCATTTGACTCATTTTCACGTAAAGAATTTATATTTGAGATTCATTTGTTCATTTGAAATTTCTAAAAATAATCATTAATTATATAAAATCAAAATTAACGACTTAAATTACATGTTAGTGATTAATTTTAATACGGATTATCACACTGGTTGTCTCGCTCGACAGAAAAACAAATCACTCTTGGCTTCACTGGATCAAAAGCTGACGCATCACTCTATGTTCTTCACAAAGGTTCTCTCATCCTGTATTTTCCAATATATGTTGACGATATAAGTGTGACAGAATCAAGTTCAGCTGCTGCTATTGACAAAGTTATTGGACTTCGACATGCTGAATTTCCAGTCAAAGATCTTGACTACTTAATTTTTTTCTTGGTATTGAGGCACTCTGTGTTTCTGGTGGGCTATTCTTGACGCAAAGAAAATACATTGTTGACTTATTAACTCGGAGTAACATGGATAAAGCTAAACCCTTCACCACTCCTATGTCCAGTTCATGCACCTTATCTACGCATGAAGGAGAATCATTCCCTGATGTGGATATACAGAAGTATTGTGGGCAGTCTTCACAACCTAGGCTTTACAAGGCCTAACATCTCTTTCTCTGTACACAAAGTCAGCAAGTTCATGCACCACCCGTTACAATCTCACTGGCAGGCAATCAAGCAAATCCTCCACTACTAGAAACATACAGTTACTTATGGATTGTTTTTGAATTCATAGTCAAATTGTTTCTTACAAGCATTCTTTGATGCTGATTGAGCGGGTGACAAAGATGATAGACGGTCAGTTGGAGCCTATTGTATTTCTTTGGGTAAAAATCTTATTTCCTGGAGTTGCAAACAACAATAAACAGTGGCCAGAAGCAGCACAGAGGCTGAGTATAAGTCGTTGTCCAACACTGTAGCCGAGCTCAACTGGTTGCAATTGGTTCTTTTTGATCTTGGGATAAAACTCCAACAACCATCAGTATTAACATCGGCGCCACGTACTTATCCTCGAATCCTAAAAAATCAGCTAGCTGATCTACTAACCAAACCATTGTCCTTATCGCGATTTCACCTGCTACGAACCAATCTTCAGGTGCATGACCTCCTCTGTCGATTGTGGGGTGGGGGGGGGAGGGGTGTTGAAGGAATAATTCAAGAGAAGCCCGATTCTTCGGTAGAAACTTCAACAAACAGTTTGGAGAAGATTAGGTACTGAACAACTTCTACTATGCAAATTTCTTTGAGATAATTCCAGCTGTCAAAATTCAAATATTTGAAGATAGCCTTATCTTTTGTAAATTAGTTGTATTCCTCTGTCTATAAAAGAAAGCATTGGAAAGTCAATAAAACACAGCTTGAAAATATTTCTCACAAAGCCATCTTACAAACCGAAATCACTAATTGAGGCCTTTTATTTTTAATATTAATTTTTTTTAAATTTTTTATGAAAGAAAGATAGAAAAAAGGTGTGATAGTGTCGCTGAGAAAGATGCCTCAACTTTTATTTTTTATTTTTTACCGGAGATATAGAGAGAGAGAGAGAGAATTTCAACCTTTTTTTTTTAACCAAAGAGAGAGAGAGAGATGGATAATTGTAAATATGAATTGAATTTTGAGTTTTTTATTTTATTTTTTTAACTTCTAATTTTTAGGTTTTTAATGTTATAAATTTAATCATGGACCTAAATTATCGCAATAAAAATTTGATTAGATTTAATTTTTGGGGGCTTTTTTTAGGGCATAAAATTTTTTTTATTTAAATTTTTTTGTGAGCTAATAATGTAACTAAAATTATGGAATTTTTTAAAAATTATGGTATCACCATTGCATTAAATATTTTCTCTTGATTTACAAAATGACCCAGTTTAGTTACCAGTTGACTGAGTTTAGTCTGACCCATCAGGTCGATCCAGTTTTGATAATACTGACTAAAGGTAAAATTCAAACACATGTTCTGGTGGGAATGAGGGTTTACACAGGTCGCTGCTAGTAAGTTGATATGCTAATGTGAGAAGTAAGGGGGGAAGGAACTCACTGGTGTAACAAAGAAATACCATATTTGTGGGACCATGTGGAGCTTATAATGGTGGAACCAACTCGGACAACGGAAGTCACAGTGGAGACAGAGAGATCAAACTTGTCTATGCCCGTTGTGTCTACTCAATCCATGAGTGTATAGGAATAATGGAAAAGCCTGTTAGAGGAGTTCTTAACAAGAGTGGTCCATGGCAGCAGCCGGGTGATCCGATCAACCAAGTTTCAAGAGCAATTGAAGAACACTAGGGACGATATAGAGTCGAATATCTTTCATTCTTAAGGGATGGTTGCCAATTGTGTGGTTCAAGGGGAGAAATGCTTGGCATCTCGATCTCGATTCAATTGGTTTTCTTTTATCTCATGTCCATACAACAAAACTCCTTCAAAAGATTAATCAGAAGCTGAAAAAACTGGCAGCTCTGCATCCCTTGCCTCAAAAGATTGTGAACAAACTTCTCAAGTTAACGCCACCAAAGCTCCTGCATACAATTTAATATTGCATCCATGTATATTTGAGGTTTTCTCTATAAATTTTCTGAAGTGTTCCTATTATCTGAACTAGTTTCAAGTGTTTCTACCTTTCACAAAGTGGATAAGTAAATATCGAGGAAAAGGCGCTTTAGCTGTAGGATAAATAAATTATCAAGATAAAGACATCTGATCTTTCCTCACAGCATGTACACTAATCTTAACATGTTTCAAGTGTCTCAGCATTTCCCACTGTCGTTCGTCGGGAAAAGAACAGCAACACTCTGGATGAACTCTAAACATGAACTAACCAAGGAAGCAAGCACATAGCAAGGACTTAACTCATGAACCAAAACT